GCGGTGTGACCCTAGGCTGTGATCTTATGCAAGTCTCTAGCCAGGCCTTTCCTTCTGAGCCCCTCTGGGTCCATTCACACGGCCAACCTTTGGTTTAGACATTGAGCGCTTAACGATCTGCGCCGTGCAAGGACTCCGAGGGAGAGGGTCAATGGTGAGGAGCGTTGCAAGCGGCCATTCTGCCATCACAAAGGACGAGAAGCCCAGGGGACACAACCATGCACATCACAGAGGAGAGGTGGAGGGAGGGGGCTGATCATCAGGTGAGTCCTGGGTCCCGCCATTCCTGAAGGCCCATGAATCTTCCACTTGCTGAGGAACCCGAGCCTCTGCTGTTCACGCCATTTGGGATGGGGAGCCCCTGGCGGGGAGCCCCAGCAAGGGGCCAGGGGACCCTAGAGGACCACTGGGAACCATGGGTAGAATTCCAGAGCTGAGAGTCTAAAGGACCGGAGGCCCTTGTCATCCCCTTGTCCCAGGAAGTACTGTTTTCACAGGTGCATAGTCATCCATGTCTGATAAGGCCAGGACCTGTGTGTAGAACACACAGATGCACACACCCACCAGGGACGGGGGAGCCCCCTCAGCTGAGACCCACTGTGCAGAACCGTGGACAGACACCGTTCATTAGCTGTTTTGCAAACAGGTCTTTTAAGACTGGGTCTTCAGTTTACTTGACCTTTTCCAGGATTGCCTCAGAGACCTTTGGACCAAAGGTCCAAACCCTAACCCCTGGGAGCTCACCCCAGTCTCCTGAGCGCCCCACTGAGGCTGGGATTCTTCCTGAGTGTGGAATGAGGGGAGAGGGGGGGAGGGAGGGAGGGAGGGAGGGAGCTGCCCACTCAGGTCTGTAGATCGGCCAGGGGTCAGGGCAGCCAGTACCTTCTTTACCTAGGTCCGTCCCCGATTCCTCCAGAAGCTTCTCATGGTCCCGGGCATCCCTCTGGAAAGAGGAGGATTTGGTCCTGCTGAGCCCCTACGCCCGCCTGTCCCTCTCCCCGTCTCCCCTCAGGGTGAGACCACGTGCCCCGCCACTCCGAACCTCCAGCTTTGTCTTCTCCAGGCCCTTGATCAGAGCCATCTGGAAGTTATCCACCAGGACAGCGATCACCAGGCTGGTGGCAGGGAGGGGCAATCAGGGTGGGCGCCTCGCAGAGGCCACGCCACCCCCACCAGAGGACTGGGGCTGGGGGTTCCCTGGGGCTGGGGGAGGGGGAGAGAAGCGGGTACCCAGCAGGGGAGGCTCTTACTTGAGGAAGATGAAGTACTGGATGATGATGTAGACCATCAGGATGGGGATGATATACCAGGCTCCTAGGAGGGAGGGGTGGTTTTGACTGTGAGCACCCAGT